GTGGTCTTAAAGTATGTGTAGGCAGTGTAGCAACATGATGCTGAGACACTCCCACACTAGCTCAGTATGTACAGCTCCCATGCTGAAAGTAGTATAGTCATATTACTGCCATGCTGCGTACAGGCAGATAAGCTCTACTTTGCACTAATATAGCTATACTAGTCTGGCTTAGAAGCCAACATGCACAGAACTAGGGTGGGGGCTCTCTCACCACAGCACCATGGCTGTCTTGTTCCATATAGACATACCCATATCATAGCAAAGACCTGAGCCTGCTGTCTCTAAGACCCCTTCACACCATTCTGAGGGCATAAAGGGGCCTTTCTGAGGAGAAGACAGTTTCAAGATAAGATCCTCTACATAGGGAACCTTTACTACAGGAAAGGAGCTGCTGAGCCAAAATTACATTAATCCCACTTCATGTGGGGGGAGGGAAGTGATGGGCAAGAAATGGAAGGAGAGGTTATAACTGGTTGGTAATGCAAGGTAATGCACATAGGCAAAAAGAAGCCCAATTACACATTAACAACACTAGGTTCTGAACTAGCAGTTCTGAAGTAGCTGTTAAGATTAAGGAAAGACACACTGGAGTCGCTATAGGTAGTTCTCTAAAAATATCAGCACCGTGTATGGCAACAACAACAAAAAAAACCTAATAAAAATGTTGGGTATCATTAAGGGAACTAAAAACAAAAACCAGAAAACACTGTCATGCTACTATACAAATCCCCATGGTACACCCATATCTTGAATCCTGTGTGCAGTTCTGGTGTGCACAGCTCAAAAAGGATGTAGTAGAATTAGAAATGGTACTGAAAAGAATAAGTGAAATCATCAGGGGTGGAGCAGTTGCTATAAGAAGAAAGAGACGAAAACAACTACGGCTTTCCAGTTTGGAAAAGAGAAGGCTGAGGGAGGATATAATAGAGGTCTAATAAAATCATGAAGGGTGTGGACAAAGTAAATAGGGAACAGTTATTTACCAAGTCTCAGAATACTAGAACTAGAGGACATGCACTGAAACTAGTAGGAATCAGGTCTAAAACTAATAAGAAAAAATATTTTCTTATACAGCATATAGTCAATTTGTAGAACTCATTATCACAGGAGGTTGAGGCAGATAGTATAGCCAGGCATAAAAATGGGACTAGACAAACTTTACCACAGGACAAGGCTTTACCATAGGAACACCTTAAACACTCTAAAGTTACTTTCTTATCAAAAGATAATTTACATGTTTAAAGGTTTCCACTGCATGAAACAGTAGGCAGAAAAGAACCAGGAGGCTGGGTAGTACAGAAAGGGAAACAGGGAACTAAGTAGCAGGAAAATACATGAAGAAAGAAGAGGACGACCAATCAGAAAAGTAGGTCAGGAGAGAAACGAATACAACAGCTGAGAAGGATAAGATGAAAAAGAGCAAAAGAAAAATGACTGACTAACCGTTTTCAAAAGGAAAGAACACTTTGCATATTTAATATTAATACATTTAGTGACAACTATTATTTTTCCAAATACCAAGTTGCTAGAATAGCCACAGGACTGCCATATGGGAGGAAAAAAGTGAGGCAGCCTGAGTGGTTTATACAGTAGTAAACAAGAAGGTCTACAGTATGGATAAGTTTGGGAACCTCCTCTACTAAAGATAATAGTTGGCATTAGTAGCCGCTGTATGCTCTGGTGACAAGACAGAAAAAAAGGTCAACAGGAATGAGGGGTCTGGAATGTGGATTAAAGTGAATAAGAAGCAGCAATAAAACTCTTCTGCCCTCTGTCTGCCTAGAGAAGCGTACAAAAGATGTATAAAGCCAATAATGCAAACCCAGTAGGGACTAAGATTTACCTCACTGACTACAATGGAACTAACATGCATGTAACCACAGGCCATCATCGCTTACTCTACTGTTCTTCAATGTAAACTGCTGTTTTAATATAGCCAATAAAATGGAAACAAATGAACAGTAAAATGAAGGCAAACCAGAGCAAATGAAAAAAAAACAATTATAAACCAAAAATGAAATAAGCAATGATTTTAAGATGAGAACACAAAAATTCTAAATTCCAGAATTAGATGGCAAGTATTAGCCATGAGGATCTTCTTGCTTTCAGATAAATCTTTCATGCCAAATCAGGACCTAAAAAACCGAAGTTACCCATAGCAACTTGTTTATGAAAAACTGATGATTTCAAAACACAGCCCTAGGGACTAAGCAGCCATAATTCTTGTTTATTGAACTGGTTTCAGTAGTGGGCAGCAGCAAAACTAACAAAAATTGTATCATTTTCAGAAAGCAACAGAGAGAGGGTTCCAGGGTCCTTGGCTCTATGATCAGCTTGCCATTCCAACAGCCTCATCTAGGACCTCAAGTTTTTCAGACTCTAAGACTAGTAGGCTCAGTGAACTATTAGACTTTCAGGGCAGCAAGCTCCTCACCTCCTCCACTGCAGAAGTAAGGTTGGCCAGGGACCCAACTGGTCTGGTTACTTAGAAAAGCAGTTCCCAACCACAGAGTAATCTGCAAGAAGAAGCTGTCTACTGTGGCTGGAGTCACAAGGTTGATCCAGTCCAGGAGATGCTAGCAGACACACAGCGCACCTGGCTCCCCAGGCTGCAGATGCATACCTCTGGAAGCCAGCTGATCCATAAGTCTGGAATACCTTGGTCTGAAGCTGTCTAACAGACAGACTGCCAGAAAGGTAAGTATGTGTGCTGCCAGGAATCCAGGCAAGTTTCTAATGAAAACCTGTCTGATGGCAGGTTTCAAAACTTTGCCTGTATTATGCTGGAAGGTTAGTCACAAAAAAAACCAAAATAAAATAAAACATAACAAAACACTACCAACCTTGTTCCACAAAGAATTGCACACATCATTCGTTTTAAATGAATCTGCATTTTCTAACAGAAAAATGTTCTGTCAAAAAAATCTGACCAGCTGTACTCATGATATATTAATCATTAGAATCACCCTACCAGTTTGGGGTAGAACAATTTGGGCAGCCACTATGGGAAAATATGTTCCAGATTGCTCCTTAACTGCTTCACCAGAAACAAACGCTGCACTGTTTATCACGCATCCAAGAAGTTAGTGCCTGACCATTTCCCTAAACCAATGGATTATTAATTGCAGTAGCTGGGTTACCACCAGTATGTTCTTGTAATCTTATTCTGTGGCTACATGGCTGTTGGGTTAAAAGGAAATGGGTATATCCATCCCCTTCCACTACTCTAGAACAGCGAAAGTCCACACATGCACCATATGACTAGAGGCGATACATTTCTCGAGGGTTTGAACTCTCAACCTTGATGAAGTCATGACCTGCTTTTAAGGTCTGGGCATACACAGTGTATAATGGTAATGCAACTGTTTATCAGTGTTGATGTGTAAATTATAATAATGTTGATTGTACTGAGTTGAAATATTTTGAATTGACTGGTCCTTTTAAGTACTGCCCAGGTTTGATTTTGATTGGGTATTGTGAAAAAGGCGATGATTGGACCACTGGGTGAGGGACAGGTGACGTGTTTAAGCCATAAATCCAGTCCAGAGCAGCCAGTACGAGCTCTGGGGGCTCAGGTTCGGACTCGGTCTCACACTCACTCTGGCTGAACAGTCCTAACCCCAGGCTCTCAGGGTGTGAGAGTTTGTTGAGTGCAGGCTCCTTGCTGTGACCTGGTCATTGGGATTGAGTTTGCTGAGGTTTACCTGTCTTGCTCTCTTTCCTTTGGGTTGGCTGTGGAAGCTGCAGTTGGGTAAAGCATCACACTTTCCCTGTTTGAGGTGCTGAGTACCTAAGGAGGGAAAAGCTAGAAATCCACAAGGACTGTCAGAGGGTTTCTCCTGATGACTAGACCCAAGGTGTTCTTGCTGCCATCTGTGGTTTCTGGGCTGTCTGTAAAGTTGCATAGCGGTTAACAGTGTAGTGAGTGAAGCTCATTGTAATGTGCAACTGACTGGCTGTGATCAGCTACAGCGGGTTTGGGATGTGTGTCGGGTTATTGTCCCGTTGGGTGTATTTTATTGTGTTGCAGCTTGGGTGTTATGGGAATATTGCATCAGGTAATTGCTGCACAGGTTGTGTTGTGTAATACAGTTTATATTGCTCAACCTACCTGTGCTGTAGTGTGTAGCTACTCTTCCTAACTCTAAGTAGGGTTGGGCAGTAGAGGTCAATACTCAAGGAAATCAACTTACTTTAATGCCCCTGAACCCGATTACCTGTGGGTCATAAAGGATTAATGACCCTCTGGATTAATTAGTTAATTGGCATCCCCACGGGCCATCCTTCACTACTAGGGCACACACAGAAGAAGAGGAAGAAATTCTGTGCTAAACCAAGTCCTTAAGGAAGGCTGGGCCAGATGCCAAATTATGTGATGATTATTCTTCCTCTGTACAGACAAGCGCAGGATAAACCACTTTTGGAACCAGCAGCAACAGAAGCTCTGTGCCCACAATTCAAAGTTTAACCATAATATCACACAACTCTGGACAAGCCATCTGGTCATAAAATACCTGAACCTGGTTTTATCCCACAAAAGTCAGCGGCAAATGAAAGGCCCCATTTTTGCCAGGACAGAAAATGCTCTAGATGCTTAAAATACTTCATTACATCACATAAAGCTGGTCATTTTGACACTGGGGGAAGGGGACGACACCAAAAACAAAAACCCAAACTTCAGATAACCACTAATCATTCATAATTTTCCAAAACCACAGAAGGAGAACATTTCACTTTGGATTCAGGAATCCTTACCTGTCACGCATGCTGTTTCCTAAAAAAAATAGTTCATGTAATTATTCTATTTAATAACTTATGATATTGTAAATGACAAGCCACAAACTAGTCAGCTACCTCAGCTACCCATAGCAGACAAATTAGCAAGAGTGTATTTAGATACTAAATACGGACATAGTTCTAGAATGTCAGTAGTTCCGGATTTGCTAAGCCTTTAAAATGGGGGGGGAAGAGGGAGAAGGTGGGAGGTTGTCAAAGCCTACCTTGATATCAAAGTTGCAGTCAAGTCTTCTGATTAAGACAATGAAAGTATTGGAGGAGTTGTCCTTAAGTGGTGGAGGGGCTATAGGCTCACATGCATTCTCCGGCTTTGAATTTATTAAGAACCCCTGAAACAAAGTCATGGTATATGATCAGTTTTCTCTTTGACATAACCCTACAAACGTTGTGGAAAATAATTTTTCATGTTTATAAGAAAGCCACTTGAATTCCTGAAGCTCTGTCTTGAATTTTACATTGCATCATGCTTTATATGTAAATACTGATCTTAAACACCAAAATGTTCCTTAGGGTTACAAAGAAAGAAGTGCAACAAACTGAGGACATCAAATAGTTGCAGATACTTTCTGATTACCTAGTAAGTAGGTTCATGTCATCTCAGAACTCTAGCTATAGGTCCGTATACAGAGATCTGTATACACTGAAGTAAAATTATATAAGTGATTTTCTTTTCAGGGCTGCCCAATGCAATCAACAGAAATAGGTCAAGTAGCAGCAATACAAAGTCAATATTCGCTATCAAAGATAAATAGGAGGAATATTTCCACACTTATAAAAAGAGCTAACTTGCATTTGCATAAACAATAGCGTGCGTGCGCATCTATATCAAGAACCTCATACACCACAAGAGAAATATTGAGACTGGGAAGTTCTACGGCTGCAAACAGACATTGCCACAAAAGTTCTTATAATAGCACAAAGTGAAAGCAAATAGATGTCTATGCCCTTTATTGCATCAAAGGTCCGCAAATTTGTGGCTGTGACAAAAGTTAATATAAATTTGTGCTGGATGTCTCTGTTTTAAGGCAGAAGACTGCAGGCAGCACTGAGCTGGCTATGCTCTCCAGCCACTCCAGGCAGGCGTTCCCAGGCCCAAGGGCTCAATCCTGCACACCTACAAGGGAATTCCCAGGGCATGCAAGATTAGGCCCTTGAAGCCCCTGCCTCGGTTCCCCAGGGTGCAGTGACCCACTGCAAATTGAATTCTCTACACACACTTCTGCAAGCAAAGAAATTTGGGGTTCCCCATTTGCAAAGGCATGCTCTGAGTGTTGTCCCACAGGACTGGGGGCAGCAAAGGCCCAAACCTGAGGGACAATAGGTAACACCTATTTCACCCAATGAAGCAAATCAGCTGTTTCTGAACAGATCACAACACAGCTGATCCACTTCATTTAGCAACATCTGTTAGTGTTTTAGCCTATGATTAATAAACTGTGGCTGCATCTTTATCCTGAAGAGTACTGGGATCAGAATTGTGAACAATATTTTTTAAATGTTGCTTAATACGGAATTCTAATTTTTGGTATCCCCCTAAAAGGCGTTAGGACTTAATTTTTGGAAATACTTAGCATTTTCTGCTCCTATTAAAGCTGGTAAGGGGTTACAGGTATTTACTGCTTGTGAAAAAGGAAGTCATTTATTTTTCTATCTGAATATGGATTGTAGGACCTAACCTGAAGCAATCTGGTTTTGAAAATTTGCTCAAAATTTAGGGGAAAAAAATATTTTTGAAGATTTGCTTTGTCATTATAACCTCATTTTTATGTTAGATTTAGAAGGTCAAGTTTTAAATTGCCTTTTGACCTCTTATTTCACATAAATATAAAGATTAAACTTTCTTGTTATGGTAGAGAGACATTCAAATCTAAAGCCTAGCAAGACCTAATAAAATTCCCTAGAACTGTATCAAACATATATTAAAGTTACTCAATCAGTAGACTTCCTAAAAATTCAAGTTATCAAGACTACTTCATACAAAACATGTTACTCTGACAATTTTCTTTTAAAATAATTTTTAATTAATAGAACATCAGCATATGATACAAGTACAAGATCATCAGATTCAAATAAAATATTCTCCATCAGTTGGACAAGGGAAAAGGAAAATAACACCAACCAATCAGTTGGAGAGCAAATCTAGAGTCAGCCATGTAAATCCTTTTTTGAAGAGTAGAATATTAATGTAAGGGAATCCAACTAACTTTATTTTATAACATCTCAATGCTCCCGGCCATTTGTTTCTAACAGGCAATTTCTCACAATGGTCAACCAGCAATCTCATTTTAATTCTCTCTCCCATTAAAGTATACTCCACTCCACACAGTGCGTATCAACCAAATCGGCAATTATTTTTCAAATAAACCAACTTTACAGATCTCTTCTAGCCAGATTAACTAACTCTCTAAACATACAATCAACATATACCCTCTCTGGCATCAGGGCCAGAGCTGAAGCTGCAGCAGTCACATGCCCCCCACCCCATGTGTACTCCAATTCAAAACAAGAAGCTTTCATTCCTCCTCCCCCTGCCCCCCCACATGTTAAATAGGAGGAAACCCTCATCTGGATTTGAAAAAATACAGCACATATAGCATGCAGAGGTGGGATAAATTATAAATACATAATTAATTCAAGAGGAGACTCCTCGGCTGCTGAGGCTGATTGGGTGCTTCCATAGCAACTCCCGTAAGCTTGTTATTAGAGTCCTTATCCTGCAAACACTTAACGCTTATGAGTAGAAAGTGAGATGTCAGAGGGACTATTAGCAACACAAAGAAAATACAGCACCTCACAAGGTCAGCCCATTACAGAACAAAGGAATGTTAGCCTGCAGTGTAAAGGTAGCATGCAAAATAGTTTATTTTAATGAGACTCTGGGCCCAAACTTGGAAGGAATGAGTCTGCATAATTTCTCTCTCCTGTCCCCAGTAGCTATGCCATACCAAACAAGTCATTCCCTTTCTACCCCCCCACAGTAAGGTGTCCAAACTGGTATAAGTAACATCCCAAGGTACCCGAAGAAAGGAGTATAGAACCTCCTTTAGGTATATTTTTATTACCTTTAACTGGCACCTTCTAACTCCTCTGTATGCAGTTAACAAGCTTGTCAACAAGGTTCAGCTCAGACCTCCCCTACCTTATGCATCACCTCTGAACCTGGTCCAAAGTACCATCATTATTCAGACATTGAATTCCTGAAATTCATCATTTCTTACAAAAATGTTTCAAAAACTTTCAGAAAAACAAGTGATATCTGTCATCTAACTCATTTAGGATCTAAAATGCCCTTAACAGTTATTTTGTAATTGGAACTTGTAGTACTTAACAAGAAAAAGGTACATGATATATACCAGTGATTCTCAACTAGGATGCTGTAGCATGCTGAGGTGCTAACAAGTGTTAGTGCTGTTAGGTGAGAAAACACCTAGGCTAGGGACAGACATTCAAAAAGCCCAAGCCTGAATTGATTCACTCCCTGAAAGTTAGTCTAACCTGCAGCGATTGAACTGATTTGTGAGTGGATAGAAAACATTCACTTTTGATTCAGAAAATGCAGTCACATGCCTGCAGTGCCTCAGGCCACAAGCCAGGGGTACACTAGAGTGAGCTCTTCCTTCCCTTCAACAGTGCTGAGCTGAGGAGGGGGGCATAGGCAAGCCCCAGCAGGACGCTACAATTAGGGAGGGGTTTAAACCCCAACCCTGGCCTTCACAGTCCCCAGTTGGGGTGTGCCTGGAGTGGGAAGTAGCCCTCGCCAGGCTTCCCCTGCCCCCTCCCACTCGCTGCTTAAGGAGCAGGGAGTGTTGTCAGACCCTGGCCTCAAGCCCGCACTGGGCAA